GATGTGGGCCAACTCATAGTCGGGACGCCGAGAGAGGGCGTCCGCAAGCACTTTGAGCTTGCCCGGCTTGTATTCGACGCGGAAGTTGTATTCCGCGAAGAAGGACAGCCACCTTGCCATCCTTTGGGAGAGGTGAGGCGAGTTAGTCGCCGTACTCAAGGATGCGTGGTCTGTGTAGATCACAAAGGGCCTAGAGCCCAGAAGGTGAACACGGAACTTCACAAGGGCATATTTCATTGCCAGGAGCTCCTTGTCGTGGACAGGGTAGTTCCGCTCGGCGGCTTTGAGCTGCCTGGATTGGAACTAGATGACTCGTTCGTGTCCAGCCGTGTCGGCCTGCAGCAATGCACATCCGATGGCGTAATCGGAGGCATCGCAGACGACGCTAAACGGCTTCGTCTCGTCCGGCAGGGCCAGGACAGGGGCCTCTTGGAGACTGGCCTTGATGCTGTCAAAAGCATCCTGGTGCTCTTGCTCCCAGCGCCAGTCGACGTCCTTCTGAAGGAGGCTCGACAAGGGCTTAGCGAAGTCCGCGTACCCTGCGCTGTACTTGTGAAGGTAGTTGGCCAAGCCCAACCACTTTTGAAGATCCTTCTGGGATCGGGGCGTCGGCCATGCTGCTATGGCCTTGACCCTGTCTGGGTCAGCCCGAACGCCCACGTTGCTTACGAAGCAACCGAGAACTTTAATCTCTGGTGACGCGAAAACGCACTTGTCGATGTTGGCGTAGAGCTTGTTCGCTCGCATTACGTCCAACACTCGACGGAGGTGGCCTAGATGCACCTCCATGGCCGTCTTGCCTCCCCTCGGCACGGCTATGGACGAATATGTCGTCGAAGTACGTCCGTACGAAGGTACGCAAAGGGCGGAACAATTGCGTCACCAGGCGATTGAACGTCGCCGGGGCGTTAGACAAGCCCTGCGGCATGACGAGCCACTCCCAAAGCATGCCGCTTGGAGTGCTTACCGCGGTAAACGGGATATTGCTCTCTCTCATCAGGATTTGGTAGTATCCGTCTACCAAATCCAGCGCACTGTACAGTACGCTCCCGGCCATGTTGAACAACAACACATCCTTTCGTGGGATTGGTGTTTGGGCCGGCACCGTTGCGTTGTTCAGCTTGTTATAAGCGTGAGCCAGACGCCACTTTCCGTTCGGCTTACGAACGCAGGAAGTCGGCGTCGAGTGCGGGGATTTCGACTCCCGCACCATCCCTGCCTTCGCTTTCGCGGCGAAGAAAGCATCAATGACCTCGCACTGTTCGCGCGGGAGAGGCCATTGCCTCGTGACACAATACTTTGTGCCGGGCACGAGATCAATCTTGTGCCGTACGCCTCGATCCGGTGGGATTTGGGTCGGTGGGTGTTCGTTCACCACGTCCGCGTACTCCGTCACCAAAGGATACACCGGATCCTTGGGTTCTTGAGAATCTCAGAACCTAAGCGCGCCTGACGCTGCTTGTTCATGTCTTCTAGGACGTTCTCGTCCAAGACAGAGGAGGAGTTCAGCTCCTTCTGAGTGGTCTCAGATCTCATGAGTACCATCTCAGCAATCTCTTCAGCCTTGAGGTTGGTCAGGAAAGACTCAGCCGTCATTTCCTCGAGGTGCCGTATCTCTGCAACCTCTGGCAACGGTTCCAAGTGGACACCAGATGCCTTGACGGGTAAGCCGGTCTCGCCATAGAAGATGTGATAACACTCTTCCACCGGCCTTGTTGGAGGAGCCCGGGCCCTGGACTCCGAGTCACTTGAAGCGACGTCGATCGGAACGAAGTTCGGATCCGACTTGAGGCGGCGGCGGCGGCGTCGTTGCCGACGGCGGCTGTGACGGGGAGCTTTGCTGCCCACGTTTAGGGATGTCGTCGCTACAACATCCGAGGCACGCGTGGCCTCGTGTGGTACTGTGGTACCCACACAGGAAGCGTGTTCAACGCCTTCCTCTTCAGTTAAGGTCTGAGCGACCACGTGTGGCACTGTGTTACCCACACAGGAGGCGTATCCGACGTCTTCCTCTTCAGTTAAGGTCTGGGCGACCGTGAGTGGAACTCTGTTACCCACTCTGAACACGCTGTTCTCAGTGTTCATGACAGCTGCAGCTGTCTGCGGAACTAAGTTACCCGCCTGTGGACCTAAGTTACCCACTTGGTCAGCGCCTTTTCTGGGCGCGGCCACCATCAAAACATCCTCGGAGTCGTCATATACGTCGACGACTCCCAAGCACCTGCCGGATGCTTTGGTACCCTGGCAGCCCTTGCGGGCGCCCCGGGTCCTGACAGAGGTGGGAACATGAATCACCAATGCTCTGTCGGACTGCGCAGGGCGGCTGGCACCGATTGCTTTGCCTCGCCAGTCGATCCAGGGCTCGTGCTTTTCAAGCCAGGGCATGCCCAGGATCATATCATATGGATCCATATCGAGAACAGTGAACTGTTCGAGGCTGTCAAAGTCTTCAAACTTGACAGCCAGATCCACTTGGACGTTGGGGACAGTGACGACCTTCCCGTCGGCCAGTCGCACTGACACCGTCCCGTTCTACTTGCTTTCTCTCAGAGCATCGGACAGCTTGTTGCTGTTACGAGCAACCGTCTGGCGGCGTGCGAAATTCTTCGACGCCCCAGAGTCGATCAAGATTCTATAGGGATGATCGTATCCCCGTACACATCCGTGTACTACGAGCAACCCGCCGCTGCTCTTTGCCGATTCGAGAGTACGAAGACTCTCAGGGGCTAAGTCCCCGTGGTACGCGCCACCTGCGCACCCATCACGAAGACTTAGTTCTTCCCCAGTAGGGCGCCCCGCCCCTACTGGTTCCCGGCGCTCCCCTGTCCCCGGAATCCTGGCTTCTGCCAGCGACCCTTGAGGACGGGCTTGGGGAAGGACCGTCTGCGGAGTCTTTACGCGGGACAGTCGCGCTTGAAGTGGCTCATCTTATCACAGCCGAAGCAGCGGATGTCACGCTGTTCGGCGAACCCGAGTTCCATGGGAACTGGTCCGTTGGGGCTTGTTCGACCGGGAGCCGACAAGGAACTCCCAGGCCACGCTGACGCCGGCGTACGCGCCTGGCGATGGCTGTACTCTTTTTGAAGAGCCACTTGAATCGCCTCTTCAAGGGTGCTTGACTGCACCCGGAACAGCTTAGTGCGTGCGGGCCCCACTCGAAGGCCGTCCATGAATACAGTCATCTTGATGTGTTCGTTGAGTGGGTTTCCCACTAGGGACGCCGTGAGCTCCCGTATCTCTTGCACATACTCGTGCAGCTCGCGCCTTCCTTGTTTACACGCGAGGAAGCGCGAACGCTGGCGGTACTCGTAGTTCGCCAGGAGGAACGCGGCTCGGAGCTGTTCGCACAGCTGAGCCCAGGATGTGAAACATCCAGGGGATGTTGCTTCCCGTGTGTACACCCAACTCTTAGCACGGCCGCTAAGGTTGGAGAGTGCAAAAGCAACACGCAGTTGCTTGGTCGAGATCAGAGCCGCGTCCATCGCGAGCTCTACTTCTCGGACCCAGAAGTGAAGGTTCTCGCCTTCCTTCCCTTCATATGGTTTAACCTTCAGTCGTATTGGCTTCGGGTGAGGCGGATTTGCTTCCGCCGCCGGAGCCTGCAGGTTCTCCCGCACATGCGCGATGAGGCTTTGCTCGTACGCGTCAAATGCATTGACGCGCTTGAGCTGCTCAGCCGGCGTTGACACCACCAGGCTCTGCAGGGTCTCCATCCCGAAGATGCCTGCCATCTTCCGAACCGACTCGAACTGAGAGTCGTTCAAATGGGAGAAATCGTTCCTAATCATGGCAACGAACTTCGGAGAGGTTCAGGTAGTCTACCCGCGGTGGCGTGGATTGACTACTAGTGCTACCAAGTGTGACGGGGTCACACAGCACCTTGCGCTAGATGAAGTTATCTTCCGATAGTATACAAACTCTCAGTGAACGGCAGTTCACAGGTCCCCTCTTTAATTAAAGAGAGCGAAGTGACCTAATTAAGGTAGATTGTAAACTGAGTATATTTATAGGTAGATTAAGTTTGGGTTTAATACAAACTATAAGTTATCTATAGAAATGCAATGTCGTTTGACCAATGGTTTTGAACGACCTTGGTACCTTGTACCAAATATCCCGGAGTATGACGTGTCATACTCCTGAAGTGTGAAGTGTCACACTTCATGTAACCAGCGCACACTTAGGGCTACGTACCCCGTTACAATGAGGTACCCCCATCATTTATTTTCAGTTTGGTGGTATCAGGGCTTGGAAGAAGCACAAGCAGCGAGCTTTTTCTTCTTGGATTTCGAAATTGCGAAGCAATAAGTAGCGGTTTTTGGCATTGATTATTGCATCGCTTGTCCCTGTACGAGAATTTCATTGACCCCAACAAATAACCGCGAATTATTGTATAGTAGTGCTGGTCGTGAGTTCCAACTGTCTATACTTCATAGAGACAGACCTCAACAGTTTCTTCAACACCTCAAAAGAAAGTGTTTGTATTGCATTAACGTAGCTGAAGTTTTTCATATTAAATTCCAGAGCTAACTACTACTTGAAATATTAGATAAGGCTGCTCTTCCAGAATGCTCCAGTGCTGTGAAAGTGATCGAAGATATTGGATAATAGAGATAAATTTCGGCAATATTTATTATTGCTTCACAAGAAAGTATAATTTTATTATTGCGAAGCAAATGCACGGCTTTTTCTCCCGATGAACCGAAATACGGGGGCGGCAAGGCCCGGCGGAGCTCACCATTTGGTTACCCAACAAGTAGTTGACAACTGAAAGAAAGTATTTTTGACTCTCCCCATCCGCCGCCGCAAAGACACGGGCTGTCCCGTTCACAACATGTCTTTCCACCCCACCCAATTCATGTGCTACGTCCATGTATTACTACTGTAGTTTTTTTTCACTGTCGGTGATACCAGCTATTCCGAATATTATATTTTTTTTCGAAAAAAATAATTAAGGTTAAAGCCTTGGCTTTACACATTGCACCAAAATGTACTACCAGTACTAGTACTACAGTACATGTACGTATTAATAGTACTTAGTATTGATGATCCTTGCTATCATTAAAATAATAATAATCCATTCTGCTATCGAGCTGCCGTTTGTGGTTGATGTTAATATTCAGAGGTGCTGCGACGAGCGGCGCATGATCTCTATCTGATGCTTGAGCAGGTAGCACACGGCGGCACGCGAGACGCCGAATTCCTTGGCAAGGTGAGCCTGTTTCTCTCCAGCACGAACACGGCGCACAATCTCACACCGCTCGCGCTCCTTGAGGTATTTCTTCTTGACGCGCTTGCTTACCTTGCCACAAGGGGTGGAGGGTGACAGCGGGGAAGTGCTAAGACCTACGCTACGTAGCGGGCGTTTCAAGCCCGTGCGGCGACTGGGCGACATAGTCTTTTCCTCGAGCTCGGGGCACGAACTGGACGCGGGCGACAGGCTGTGCCGGTAGTTATAGTTGCTGTAGTAGGGCAGCTGAATGCCGCTGTTGATGAGAGTGGCTTGATGCCAATCGTAGGGCGAGTTGCAGGGACTTTGCGGGCGTGACTCGCTACTCAAAAGCGGCGACGGCGGTTGTGGCGTGGCCGAGTTCTGTAGGAACGTTTTAAAGCTGGGCAGCAGGGTCATGGCCATGGTGGTTGGGTCGTTCGCAGAGGTTGTCGCAAGACGTTCGATTTGAAAATGAGTTGAGGCACACCGGGAGCTGTCTCGCCCGCGCCATGCTGCTGGTGGCGCTGTCGAGCGCGGTGTCAAGGATACGCGCCTTCCAGCTGGATTGTGTTTTTCGTTAAACCATATCGGAGCCAAGTTAAAATCAGTCACAACCCCAGGTTGCAGTTGAGGAGGCGTTTCTTTATGCTTCAGTTTGCGATTCAAGGGCTGCTTCGTGCGCAGTTATAGACGCCGCGCCGCCGAGACCGCATTTAACGCCGCAGCCGAATGCAAGTCTTTGAATCTTTGATCTTTGATTTAAAGGGAGACGGCGGGGAACACGAGTTTGCCTTGAGCTGGCTGTGAATCTTTTTCCCGTGTGCAATTTGCTGCAAAAGGCGCCCACAACAACTTCTCTTTGTTCTTTGCAGCTGTTGTTTACAGTTAATTAATCCGTTTTTCAGTTTGGTGCGCCATCAGCTACGCGAATTTCATTCCCTCGACCAATATAGCTACGCGGAATAAAATGGGGTTTTCTGAATCAAGATGACGTCTTTATAATAACTTCGAGCTTCACTGATTCAATTAAACAAATTGCAGAAAAGCATTTTGCTGAAATACAGACAAACCTCTTTGCAATGATACCGTCGGAGCCCCTTTTCATCACTATCCGAAGGAATCACTATTCAGAGCTGTACATGTACCGTAAAATTCGGACTGACCATTTAAATCTGCAAAACATTTAAAGGCTAAAAGGTACTACGAGGTATTATTATACTTTTTTTTGTATGCTACCGGTACTTCTTTTTTCTTTACCAACGTCGCACTCTATTCGTACGCCTCACTCAATCCAAATTTCAACGTACCGTCGCCTTTATCTAGCCTGTACAGTGTGAGCTGCGTCAAGCTCTTAGTTGGGGCGTGGAGCTATAGAATTCTATACCTGCATCCAGCTTTGCGAGCTGTTGGAAGCACACACGTCTTCTGAACTACCATAGTGAAAAGTGAGCGCGTGAAGAGGAGGACACCGTCACTGATGAGCTTGCTGCGACGATGTCGCGCGCGCACGCAACGTACCTGAAGTTCATTAAAGAACTGCTGACGAACCAACGTAGCTCACCAAAAGAATATTCCCGATATTTAATAACCTTTGAATACTAATAATCGTCATCGGTGGTACGTACAAGCTGGAAGTTTAAGTTGTAAGTTTTTTTACTTGTTCTTGTAAGCTGACGGTCAGCGAGAGACCACTCCAACCTCTTATCTAGTGGGTATCACTATTTGGAATACCACTCCAAAGAGGATTGTCTGTCTGTATCAAATATCGAAATCGTCTGGAATACCGAGCGAAACAAAAGTACATGTACAGTACTGCACCCCGTTTTCGCGCCCTTGGACCTCTGATAAACTTCCGGATGTGATAAAACTAAATCCAAATAAACTGAAGCTTGTAAGCTAAAATATAATTTACTTGCAAATCCTATATGGTCCACCCCCGCGAAATCGGGGTGCAGTACTGTACATGTGGGCGATTACATACAGTAGTGTTAAATCGCGTTGGCACGTCGCATGTATGCGTGGCTATGAAGCGAATTTATATCTCCATGTCGACACGACCGACGTCATGAAAGCGCAGAGATTGGCCGAAAATCTAACGCGTGTTGTATACCTCCTTGAACTGCGTTAGCAATCGCTTATCAGTGAGCCCTGAAGTTCAGGGTCTGGTCGAGGTGGTTTGTCTTACATGTTGAATGCTTGTGTGGGTTCTGCCCGGCGGTCAGACGGGGTCTGAAAAAAATAGCATTCCCAGTGTCAGAACAGTTTTTTTTCAAATAAAATAAAAGTATAACGCTCTACCCGCCCATAATTTTGAGTAGTTAAAGCTGGTCAAAGTTTGAGCACAAAGTACAAAAACAACTCGAAATTGTACAAAACCACTGCAGGAATCATCAGATTCTGAGTCGAATTTGCAAATACCACGATACGAATTGGCTTGTGGGAAAATCACGTTTTGACCTGTGTTGGCGAAAGGGTTAATATCACCATCGTTGACCCAGATGTTTCAATTAGAGACACTCATTATTTTGCCCGGCTGACGTAACAAAGCATCGACGTGTATACGTGTACAGATAGTATAGTACGGTTAAATTGGAGAAAAAGGTAGGACACTAGCCCGTTTGCATCGTCTGCGGGCCCTAGCTGCGCTGCACTCGGGGGGTGAATCACTCTCTTATTAAATATTAGGACCAGTAAATAAATTCCATCTGGTTTTCTATTTTTAGGGTTGTTATATCGCTTACTTGAGCTGTCGCACCAATGAGAATAATCAGTTTATTTTCATGTTACTACAGTACTGCACCCCGTTTTCGCGCCCTTGGACCTTTGATAAACTTCCGGATGTGATGATCCTGAATTTAAATGAGCTTTAATTTGTATGCTAAAATCTTGTTTATTTGCAAATCCTTTATGGTCCACCCCCGCGAAAACGGGGTGTAGTGCTGGAGATGCTGATACAGAGTTTCGATATTGCACTAAATGTAACGTTATGTCCTTTAACTTTTTGCCAGCTGTTTAGTAGTTTAGAAATACTAAGTTCATCATATTACATCGTATGTTGAGATGTGCTCCAAAATAGTATAAACACATTCAATTTAGCGGATCACAGGTTTTACCGAGCTGTCAACACACGCGACAGATCGAGTGCTATACATTATTTACATGTTGTTTCAATACTGCGTACGTCGCCTGTGCTAATCTCGCTGTCTGCCTCGCTTGAAGAGACGTTGTATGAGCTTTCTTCTTCACCGCTGTCGTTGATACCTTCTTCGGTGTGGCGCGAGCTAGAGCCTGCTGTGCGCATAGAAATTGTCTTCAAGACAGGGGGTATATGACTACCATGCCTTGAGGGGTGTGCCAAATCATGCTCCAAGTTGCTGGGGTCGTGCTGGCGAACCGCTTGGCATAAGTAGATCTGCCTCATGCTCCCAATTAGCCGCGCGTCCTTTCATCTTAGCGCTCAACACGGGAAACGCAGTCGCCAATGGTGTCTTTGCTGGTCGAAAAACACGAGCACACTTTGCAGCCATATTGACGTCTCTTGCTAAATTCAATTCCATTTTTGCTCTTGGTGTGGGATAAAAACCCATCTGTAACATGCAGGGGGCGTGTGGTGAGACTGCGTCGACGCTACAACGCTAGTATCAAGAAGGGCTTCGCTGAATAGGTCTCCTTCGATGTCAGCAACCCCACGTAAAAAAAATAACTTCCATAGATCACATTAATTCTGCGTACGTAGGCGGAGCACGATCTCGGCTCACTCTTGTTTTTACACACCGATTGATGGTGTACATATTGTCAATAAGCTCAAGAAAGATTGTATGGTAGTACTTCTACATTTTAATGTCTATATAAACCGTACTAGTGTATGATACAAGTGGCAGTATTTGTATTGAATATCTCTGAAGTCGCAATGGATCGTGTATATCTGCCCCTTCCATGCCGGCTTGTCCTTTATCAGCTGAGGTACTGAGCGCTAACCACGTCCGCGCCTGCACGTCGTGCTAAACGCACAAAACTATCAGATGATGACACCCTGGCACACGCTACCCGTGTGCCACTTTCCCTACTTATGTAATAGCTAAGGGAATATCTACCTACTTATGTAAATGGAGTTAGGCTCATTACATCACCCTCATCTCAAAGTTTCGCTTACGCAACATAAGCGCACGGAACACATTTGAAGAAAAACTCGGAATCCAACGGAGCGAAGATGGCCGAGGACGATACGACGCTGGTGACAGAAGCAGGCGTGAACACACTGACGACGGCGGCAATCCTGGCAGCCGAGACATCGGCAGCGCCAACAGTGACGAGGATCAGCACCAGAAGCACGCGGTCGTGTGTGATGGATGACGCTTTGGTTTCCTAGGACCTGTACGACTTGTCAGGAGCGGAGAATCCGGATACACGCGACACCATGAAAATTGTATTCGTCGCTTTCGCGCGACGCGGAAGAAGAACATCGAAGGCGCTGATCGTGAGGGACTTCGTCGCTCCTGGTGTGCCTTCATCCGACGACAGAACCGGATGTCGCGTGCTTGAGATAGTTTTGTCGACTGGTTGGCGTATCGCGAGGAGATCCTTGTGGATCATTCGATTGGGGCGCTGCGCGTGAAGGTCTGCAACAACGCGTGGAATAGAGATCGACTCTGCTTCGTGCACGTGAGAGAGAAATGTGAGTCCTGTGGTACTTGGGCCCGTCCGACCCAACGCGAGTGGAGGCAACATCTCACTGAGCGGCCGCGTCCGGAATATCGCGGAGAAGGTTGGCGCGAGCTCCCACGTAACATTCTCCGGAGGATAAAAGCGCCAACGTACCAGATAGCGACGCGCGGTCGGGGCGGCGTGAAGAGTACGACTACGGACGTTACGTTGAGCAGACGAGCCGTGGAAATCTTCCTGGCCAGTGATACGCTTCACAACCCAGCGCGCGCTACCCACCGAGTCAATAATTGGTGGTGGGCCTTCCCAGTGATACGACGCCTTGAATGAAATTACCGGTTCGGAACCAATAACCGCTTTTAATTCAGTTCTTGGTTTCAGACGGATTCGGTACGACCCAATACTACCGGAGACTGCTTCGAACGGTGCGTTGGACGTTCAGATTGGAGCTGAGCGGGCGGAAGTTCTTGCCTGGTGAGCTGGACAGATCGCGTCGGAGCTTCGGCAGTCGCATCGTGAGCTGTTATCTCGCCTTCCGGGGATTGGAGAAGCGTGGGCTTGTCTCTACCCAGCAAGGGGTCGTCCGCGAGAGCGGGCGCCTGGCTATGGCCCGTCATGCTTGTCGTGATGGTCGCCCGATGCATCCTCCGTCTGCTAGCTTGGGTCCGGAATCGTTGCAGGGAAATGCCGATTGCGTCACCCGACGTAAAATGTCGAGTGGAGTTTAATTGCCGACGGAATGTCCAGGGTGTAGACGTCGCCCACAACCTTTGTTACTCGGAAGGGACGGATGAAACATGGAGCGAGCTTGTTAGCGCCCAGGTTGGTTATGACGGAGCGCGGATTGATATAGAACACGGTTTCTTATCTTAAATATATTCACGTTTTTTCGCCCGTGCGTTATCTTCTGGTCTTTTTGCTTGTCCACTGCCTTCTGCAGTGCATTGCGGCCGAACTTTGATGTGATATGTTTCTACATGATGAATTATGCAACGGCCGAGTGATCGTCTGAAAGCACCAAATGTTTTGGTGTATAATTGGCAGTGTTAACGTCCTGCTCACGAGCCTTGCCACCTTAGTGAATCAAGTTCTGCGACGTCCATCTTGTGGTGGGGTGGCTCTTGCAAAACTAGTGCTTCGGTCTCACACACCGTACCCCGGGGGGGGGGGGGGGGGCGACTGGCAGAGGGGGTACTCCGATAACTGTGGGGTTGCTGAGAGCTCACCTCTCACCTTGTGTACCCGCCGGTGGGGCTGGATACACTCCTCTGGTGGACTTAAAGAAAAGCTCGGCCTGCAGCTGGTTCCGCTTTGGAGAGGCGTAGGATGGGGGGGGCGGGGGGGGGGGGCTTGTTCCTTTTTCGGGCTAGACTTGACCATTTCCTATAGCACAGCTGCAAACCCCGGCTACTGACACGTGTAATTGGTAGCCTTGACTTGTTTATTGTATGGGCCACTACAAATTCCCGCTACTGTCCTAAGTTGACGAACACTGGTTGTTGATAAGGCCAATTTCACCCTGTTACTACTTAAACTCATTGCAGTTCACTACGTTGCGTATTCTATGATCACCAAACTGGCTCTTGAAGGTCATATCGTACTTACATGACATGAATACAAATCAGTCGATCTACTGAGTAGATAGCGTATCAAAATGTCTGCGATCTAAAGTCGATTTAAAACGGTGCGGATCCGAATTCTGGTAGCTAACAAGACGGCCCACCAGAGTGATGGCGTGTCACTGCGTACTTGTGCGCGTCTCTCGTGATCCGAGATGCGGTACGTCGAGGTGACTCGATGATCTGCTTGGACGAGAGCGGGTCAAGGCATTCACACTGGCTACATCCGACGATAACTCTGCCGTCGAGTGCGCTGGCAGGCCTCTTGACACCGGTGAGGTTATCGGTGTGCGCTGAGACACGGGTTCGCATACCGATGGGGGGTCACGACACTGGTTCGTTGTAGGCAGCCTCAGCATCCATGTCGACTGAAGGAGATCCTCCCCCACCAAGGGTGGAGCCGCCATCATCCATGGGATGTCCCACGGCGAGAAGTGTCGGGACACGTGGATCAGCAGTGCTGTGGTTGCATGCAACCACACACTAGCCGAAGCGCGGACCTGGTGCAATCATTGTACAGGTCCCTTGGTCATGTGCGACCAGTCCAGTAGGGTGAACGGAACGTCTCACCCACTGACAAAGCGGTTGCGATACGTGGCGTACGCAACGCGCCGGGTTTAATGAGCCGTGAAGACATAACCCAAATATGGTACACACAAGTGACCAGGCGGTGGTCGAGGCAACGCACGCAGTCGTAACTGGTGCCTGGCATTGTGGTGAGATACGCCCCACCATGGTCGAGTACCATCAAGGTACATGGTGTCTGTGACAGACACTGGTATAGGTGCAAACCCGATGCGCTCTGGGCGTATACGCTGTGAGTCAGCGCACGTACCGTGTGTACGTGTCGTACACAGCATACCTCGTATATGGACCCATGGACCTGTACACTGTGCTTGCACATGAGTCGTGCATGATGCGAGCACTGGCCATTAATCCGTTCAGGCGACAGCACAGCAGAAGATGTTGCCACCAAACATGGCAGCCTTGTGGTGGGCGTACCGTACCAAAAGTTAGTAATGTACTGTACATGATGTCGATGGGAGACACCTACACCACGGTTGTGTACCGCCACGGTACATGGTGTCGATGAAGGACACCTATGCGCCGTTTGTATGACTACCAAGGCGTGAAGAGAGCGTGGCAGAAGCTCCGCCGGCAAGGGTGGATCCTTGCTGGAGTCAAAGGCATGAGCCGATTCCCTCTAGTGCTGGGGCAGGTGTTGCCCTTCTCGATGTCGTCCCTCGCGGAAGCCACCATGCTTCGGATGCGCTCACGAGAACTGTCGTATCCCCTGGTGCGAATTGTGGGTGAGTGCCACACGTTATGAGGCTATTGCATCTTAAGCCAAAGCACTGTACGCGCGCTAGCGCAAGTACTAAGGAAGCACTGAGTGTAGGCTTTGTGGCCAACACAGCTGTGAACATAGGGATGCAAATCCCAGTGAGCTTTAGGAGCACAAGTCACTGTGGGTGTGACTGAGAGCCGCGCCAATCTCGTGGCTGCTCAGTGTGAGAATTCACCTTTGGGTGTTTTAATTCTTACTTCTGATTGGAGAATCAGTTGTGATTGGAGTGTCAGGTTATTCTCATTTAAGTGGGGGATGTAACGAAGTACAATCCAGCGTACCCCAAGGTTACATAAAGGGTGACCCGTCACTCTTGTGGACACTTGGTACATGGTATCCGGTGCTCTCGGAGCCAGTCAGGACATGACTACTTAGCTCCACTACAGGAAACCTCTAGTTCGTATGGAGCCCAAGTTATGACTACATTAGTCTTACATCTACTCCTCTAAGTAGCATCTGTTCTACTTGGATACCATTGATAATTGTCTTGCTTCTCTTGAGCGGTTGTTTGATTTGGGCAACGAATTTGGCTTGAAGTTGAGCTTGAAAAAGTCCTCACTGTATCAACGCTCTGTTACATGATGTGGTAAGGTGATTGACGAGGAAGAGTACGTGGTGGTCCGACAGCTCAGCGAGACCGTTCTCCATTGAGACTTGAAAATGTAAAGCTGACTCGCATCTCCTTTGCATCACACACGTCGGCGTGAGCACACCCTCATCCATCATATAAAAAAGTAGCTCTCTACTTTCCATTGCCACAGCAAGTTGCCAAAAGCTACGAATGAAATCTAAGCGACCGTAGTGATTCTTGCCTTCAGACGCTCCACCTTGATCTTCAAGTTGGGCATGATGCCAACAATTGCTTCGGCCATCGCATTCAACGGCTTGTACTCCACTGCTTGGCGAAACCCATTAATTTTCAAGTTTTAAGGAGCAGCGTAGCACAAGCCCAGTGGATGTTTTGGGGTTTTGTAGATCCAGACAAAGTCCACCAGAGTCTGGTTTAAGTCCTTCAGAAACGCACTCTGCAGTAGTCGATACTGCGGATCTTTGCACCGGAAAGACTTTGCATTTGTTCCAACCGAAGCTTGTACTACGGTACCTTAGCAGGCAGGAGGGTCGTCACAACGAACTAGTCGCCAAATGTTATGCTTCTTTGTAATCCCGACGGAGTTCCACCATAAATTACTCCGGAAACCCATTCCCTAGTACGGCAGTAAACAGCTTCTCGAGATCTTCTAAGATGTCAAGATCAGTTTCCAGACCAGGACGAAAGTCATTATCATACGTGATGGTTCCTCGTCGTCATCAATTTTATCACCAGCAAGTTGCTCCAGTTGTCAGTCCACATTAATCCCGAGAGAGAGCAGCACGTCATTGCCAACGATAAATTCATCAGCATCTTGCTTTGTAACGAGACAGTCAATGGGCTCTGGATGCTCAACAGGTTCAGCAGCAGTGTGTAGATGAATCGTTAACCGAACAGATTCACGAGCTTCCACATCGTGACCACCGATAGATTTTCCAATCACGGGTGTGCTTAAGGGGACATACGCCACGTTGAGGTCTAAATGCATGAGATCGTTGACGTTGCTCCGACTCAGTAGACACCTGTCGAAGCCCGTGTCCGCACAGCACTGTAGCTCACATACATCATTCAGCATTATGGTATTCACTCCACCCAAACGCTTTTTAATCCGCTTTATTCTGATCTTGTCCTGCGAGAAGTATGAAACTTCTCGGGTAGCTCCTTCTTCTCCTCAGAGTAGGCATTTCGAAACATAGTGTGGGTCACTACATTTAATACACCCGTCCTTTGGCACATGGGGACGCTTTTTCCCCGAGTCGTGCTTACCTACAGATGTTCTCGCTCAATTGGCATCTCCACTACGATTTTTCTTAGATTCGTTGTGACAACGCTGGCAACGGCCATGCTGGACACTCGAGCCCTCCTGATCCTGCTGCTTGGGCGTATTCTCAGACTTATCGAACTGCTTCTCATAGCGAGAGCGTTTGACGACGACGAAAATCGCGATCCAATTTCAACGCCTTCTCGAGGATCCGATTGTGAAGCTTTAACTCGTCATTACGTGCTTCCGTCGCTTGGAAGCAAATAGCAGTTCTCACGTCAGATTTAAGCTCACTGGGAGTCAGGGACTCAATCAGCGGCTTACACTTTTCTTTCTGGTCCTGCTGGTTCTCAAAACAGACCACCAAACCGTGTTCATCGATCAATTGGTTACACAGCATGAAATACTGCAGCACACGCTCATTAACATCAGTCACAGAATGTCGAGGCAAAACGTTTTTCCAAAGCGTTTATCAATGTCAGGAAGCGTAGCGTTTATAACACGTTCAACAATCGCCTGGACTTCAGACATAATTCGGTCATCAGTCACAGCGTCGGACAAACTTCCCCCACCGCGGTAGGTACAAAGCGTTGTGAATAGTCTTTCGTCAACGGTACTCTTGATTAATTCCTTCAGCCGCTCATAGAGCTCGTCATCGCATTTGCTGCGGGCTTTGACACTCTCTTCGTACTCAGCACGAGTTTTCTTCCACTTTACTAACGCAGAGGGAGGATGCTCATCGACAACAATCGAGACGTGACCACCGAAATGAGCAACGGTACACGCACGGTGTTGATGTCTCCTCGAGCATTCTCTTCAGCAGTCTTGCCACGATGGTCCGGTTTCTAAGTCGTGTGAATGCGGGTTCACTAAAGTCGACTTTGTAGTACGTCCACGAGACGAAAACAGTAGACACAGTTAAGGAGGCTCGCACTTCCAATTGTTGAGCCGATTGAATTGCATGCTCAGTAGAATGCAAAAAATAAAGTGACTAGACTACTCATTTCCAATTCATCTTGCTAGTCACAGCGAGCAAGGTAACCTCCTGAGCACTGCACGGAATCTCAAGTCTAGTAATTACAACTGCAATTGCAAGAACATCCAGCTCGTAGTAAATGCAGCGTGCATTCACTCAAAAGCTCAACGGGGGCAAGGCTTTCAACCTGAGCCCCACGCTACAGAGCCAGTCAACCAGCGAGCTTGACGACGACAGCGTGCATTAACTCGCTAGTGATCACGGTGATCACAGTCCCAGAACGTCCGTACGCTCTGAGAGTCCAGTCGTGAAGGCTAAGGGCTCTCCCAAACCTGGCGACGACGAGTAGGAGAAACATCTCAAGCAGTTCTTGCTCGCCGAGGGTCTTGCGCGTGCTAAGGCTACCAAAGCCACAGTTAAAGACACCAAGCCTTTAAGAAGCGGACGGATTTGAAGTATCCACTCCGCGAGGAGAAGGAGTCCGAGAACTCCTATCGGAACCTTCGGTTCCTCGGATGAAGAGGAAGAGGAGAATGCGATCCATGAGCACCTAGAGATCATGAATGACCTCGGCAAGCAGCAGGATGACTTCCAAGCTGCCCAGCGCATGCGCGGGGGTCCGGTGGTGACACCCGTCAACCTGGGAGCTGCCATCAACCCAAGAGGTTATTGAGGAGAGCTCTGGGGCTGACTTTTTTTCTGGAGATCCTCGTCGAATTCCTCTGAAGGACCTCACGACTTGTCGTAAGAAGTCCGAGAACCGGGGTGGTCTCTACTCTTTCTGGGGCTACCCCTGGGTTCTTCCCGAGAACTTCCTCAACTGGAACTTGTGTGAGGACATGTTATGGGCGTGTGTTGGGTCTCTCAAGTACACACACTCGTAGTCACGGGAGCTCCATAAAGATCAGCTGTTGTCCCGCAACCTGGTCCAGCGTGATCGATGCGTCTGGTTTGCTCACTTGGTCAGCAAGCACATGCTGCAAGGTACATTCTGAAGCGCGCGGCTTCTTGCGCTCACGACGACCGCGGGTACGGAGTGGCATCAACGTCTGTACCCCGTTTAGGCAAGAAGCCCCGGCCTACTTACGAAGCTGCCGCTGCTTCTGTTCCCAGATCGCGACAGCATTAGCGCAGTCTATCTGGAGCCGTTCAATCGGCTCCCACGAGTCTCGGAGTGGGCATAACCCCTCCATTTGACGAGGAGCTGTCGCTTACCCCGACGCCGTTGCTCCTGGATAATCTGCTCCACGTCAAAGTGGACGTCTCAGTTCCGGTCAAGCAGGGGCGGAGGTGCCCTCGTACGGGTACGAGTACCAGGCACCTCCGGAGCGCTACTCTCGTCCGGAGCCGCATTCGGCGCACTCCCAGTAGTGTATGGTACGTACATGATGTACTCGACGTACTCGGCGTATGGTGCTGGGGTTCGTTCGTACGGGGCCCCTCCGGCGTGCGGCCTCGACCGCAGCCTTGCTGTTCAGACAGAGACTTGGATGCCTACTCCGCCGCCCTCGTCGACGTCTGCGGTTGGGCCTCGCTTCGACAAGTCGGGCCAAGGTGGGTCTGCGAGTCAGCAACCCCCTGTGGATCATGGTACCGCTTAAAACGTCCAACGTAAAACGTCGGGTTCGTCGACATTGACTTAGACAGGTCGAAGGTGTACGACGCACCATGCCTGGCCAGGACTGCGAATGGTCCAATGAAGCGGTGCTTCAGCTTGTGTCTGCGGATGGCCCGTAGTGGACATCTGCAGACGAGTTCTGAGTTAAGGAAACAGCGTTTTCTAAAACGCGGCCGTGAACCGTGGGTCTCGGTCCGATACAATCGTCTACGGGAGACCGTGATAGCGGAACACGTCATCGACGAACAACCTCGAGGTCTGTTCGCCTGTGACGATAACGGGTATCGGTGTATTGTGTACCATATTGCTCAGTCGACACACGCACACCAAAAATCCGGTGTTGCCGTGTCCGTCGGCGGGATCCCAAAAGATGAAGTCAAGCCACATCGACCTTCAACAGTCAGCCGGGACGGGCAGGTTTTGTAACGGAGCCGAAGCGTGCCCTGAGGGCTTTATCCGCTGACATGTTTCGGATGTCTTCACGTAGCGGGCGACCCACTTGTACAAATGGGTCCACCAGAAGGCCTGATAGACCGACATGAAGGTCTTCTCGCGACCCAAGTGGCTGCTGGAGTGTGCATTGTGCGCCTCCGCGAGGATGGCGAACTTCCGATCCTCGTCGCTGGGTACGACCACTCGTGGAGGTTCTCTAGGCTCCACCCGGTAGTAGAGGAGGTAATCCTTTAACTCATATCGGTGGAGCCGGGAGCGCTACCGCGACGAAAGCCGGTCAAACTTTGCGTCCATTCCTGCTGCTAGGAACTTGACGATAGGCGCGACAGCCTCATCGTCCCGATACACCACGCGTATCCGATCATATCCCTTCGCACTTATAGGTTGTATTTGACGACATGTGACCAAAAGGTGCGCCAGGTCCTGTTTTTCCACATGTTATATATACAACATGTTAAAGACACTGAAATGCACAGGGTTAGGCTGAAAAATGCACAGAACACGCACACAAAATTCCTCAGATTTGTCACAAAGGTTGCTGAACCTCGCCTCGTGTAACCCACTGATTTCACACATTCGAGAAAAAGCAACGGGGATTGACCGACGCAAAACGCGTCGCGAGTCAGAAGCCTTCCTCGCCCGCCTGGAAGGCAAAAGCTCGGAGGATCGGGTGCGCTTGACTGCCCAGCACACCGCATACCTGAACGGAGAGATGGAGACGGATGCCGAATTCGGGAACGAGGCCGCGGGGGCAACACAGATGACAACGGTGGCCGCGCCAACGACGAAGGTAAGTCAGACGACGACGGCTATGACTCGTGGGCAATCCATTCCGGCGCTTCCGAGCCGACCACCTGTCGGAAAGACGACGTCGTACATTGCAGCGGCAAAGAAGCTGCGGGCAGCTCGTCTCGCAATTAAGGCCAAAGCGGAGAAAAAAACCTGGAAAGGGGAAGAAGAAGATGACCAAGGCCCAGCGCGAAGCTTTGGCGAAGGAAAGGAACGCGTTCAAAGAAATCGAAGCTGTAGCCCGTGTGGAGTCTATATCTGCACGACGTGATGCCGAGAAAGCAAGGGAACGTGCGCACGTGGTCGACGAAGAGCGCAGCGGGGCTGAAGCGCGCCAAGCAGCGCTGAAAGCACTAGCAGCAGCAAGGAGGAAGGAATCGTCAAAGTCTCCCGCAGCAAGAAGCAGAAGAAAACCGCCAGTCCGCACCTTGCTGAACCAGTTGAGGATTCAGATGCAAACGACGAGAGTATGCTGTCTGCATCAAAGTACGTGATTCTCGACATGCTGAACATACTACATTCACTAATTGTGTTCATGTTGTATCTGATGTTATGTTGTTTCAGATCACCACCAATACCAGTCGAAGCCACAGCCCTGCCTCCAACCAGACATCAAACGGCCAGGTAGCTTCTGCGATGATATATATATATACTGCATGTGTGAACGCATAGAAGATGTATATTGACGCGTGATGTGAACTACTTTGGGACAGGGTTCTGAGTATGGATACGACAGAGCCACTCACGTCTTCCGCTCCAGCTATGAATGCATTCGTTGAAGATTATGATAATGGAGCTCTCAACTCGGACTTGGATGCCGAAGGTGAAGATTCGGATGACTGGTATATTGAGGAGCAATACTGGTCTGCAAAGCACACGGACGATGGCCAGAGAGGATCAGATGCTGAAAACGACCTGCTCAGAGAAGTTGCAGATGAAATGTTTTTATGTGATAGTGATGGTAGTTTGGACGGTGCAGCGCTCCTCAATCGTGACAAGAGGAAAGCCCAAAGAGAGCTGGAGAAGCGACGTCTGCAGGCAGCTACCGGCAAGCTGCGACGTGACTGGAAATCAACCACAAACAATTGGAACACGCTGACAAAAGACGAGATGCAAGCGCTCGCGCAGGATGATGATGCTCTGAAGAAGATGCGAGTAGACGGCTGGCAGTTTGGTAAGGCTTGGGAGATAATGTATATACAACATGAAACTCATGTGGTATATGTTGTATGATGTTTAGATACCGCATCGCATCCTGAACGAGCAGAACCGTACCCGAGTCTATACAGTGGTGACAATGGACCAACGGAGGCAGCGATTGAAGTAGCTGAGTCCCCGTTACAACTCTTCTTCTTCTTCATGCCTCGTCGGCTTTGGCGCCGGATAGCAACTGAGAGTAATCGATACTATCATCAGCATCTCAATGGGCGGGTCGACAGAATACATGCGAAGCGAGTGGCTGATGATGCAGAGTTGACTAGGGAAGCTGTGTGCGGGAGACCACGAAACACAAGGCCATAAAGCCAGAGGACATTGTGCATTGTATCGGGCTCCTTATCGCGAGGATGCTGGTCCCTCACAAGCGCCGTCTTGTGGATCACTGGGGAGCGACCCGGGTAGGCGCTGTCCCAAAAGGCACATTTGGCGACTTCGTGGGGAAGTCGCGCTTTGAGCGCATCATGCAAAACCTGCATTTTACCGACAACACGGACTTGAGAGCTGAAACGGACCGCGCCTGGAAAGTTCGCTCCGTAGTGGACACGCTACAGCAGACGTTTGCAAAGGAATACAACGTTCCTCCCATTGTGTCGTTCGACGAGGCCATGATTACATCAAGAAGTCGTCACAACGTGACCAGGCAATTTATGAAGGACGAGCCTTAGAAATGGGGCACAAAACGGTTT